TTTCTACCACCTCCTCCGTAAGTTATGTAACACTGCACTGCAGTTCACTGTGCCTCAGCCCAACTGTATGATGGGAGGGCAGGAAAAGGGGGTGAATTAAATAGATGCGGCTAAATGGAGCACTTGTGATTTGAGTCACTGTGAAAACCACAAGGGGAGGACACAAACATCAACACACTGGGAACGATGACTTCACAAATTAAACTCAACAGAGCATAGCTTAAGCTGTAAAGCTGCATAGTGAGTGCCATGATTCTCTTTAGGGTTGTGTTCATGAGACATTGGGGTTAATTTCATCCATGTGCTTAAACAGCAATGACAGTGAAACTTATGTGCAATTTATATGAATGTAATGTGCAAGAAGGTTATCAGTGACGGACGAGCAGTTTGATACCCAGTCACATTAGAGTTGCCGTGAACATTGATGTGCATGATTAAGACTGGTGTCAGTAACTTGCAGGGCTGGGTGTTGGCTGATAACATTTTCACGCTGAATTAAGGAAAAGGTCACAGCAAATAAGAGATAAGCTGAGAAGGGAGTGGAAGACAGAAAAAATAAAAGAAGTCGAGCAGAATGAAGAGAGAGGTAAAATAACAGCAATACACTAATCAAAAATCACAAACCTCACTCCAGCATTGGATTAGGAGTTTTTGATTTGATCTAGAAATACATGAGAAAATAAAAATATGTAAATCTAGTCATTCAAACTGTGTACTTAAGACATGGTTGGAAAAACATGCAACCCTTTGTTTACATCATCTCATTTTCAGTTGAATCAGAGCTGAATGCAACCTGACCAAAAATGTCATGTATATTTTAAAGTCAACATAAGACATCGTCACTTTTTGTTTGCATTACTCTGTCCTGCTTTACTCGTTTCCATCTGTCTGCTTTCAGCATGACTCATCACTCTCTTGGGTGTAATTGTGTTTATTGCTGCAAGTTTCCCATGGGCACTACTGTCTCGTCAAGTTTTCACAATTGGTTAGACAGGTAGTATTATAGAACCAAAGGAAGGAACACTTTAGAGCAAAGCCCTGCCCTGTATTGTGGTATTATGGCTTCTCATTTATGAATATTTATGCTGTCTATTTAGCTTTTGGTTTATATGTAAAATTGAATCAGATTCAAATCACTGGAGGGAGTCAAATGAGGACATTTTCTCTGACAAAAGTCTTGTTTGTTAAATAAGTGTAACTTTTTCTGTCTCAGTGTCTAAATGTCAAACAAGCACTGTCTGGCTTTAGGCTTGTCCTGTCCTAAATATCTTGATCTCTTTGTCAAATAATGTGCTTTCTGCAGCACCCAAGTTCCATCGTATCATTGGTTTAGCTAAAATGACCAGCTTTAGCACACAGCATGGTGGTACAGTCTGTACTACTGTTTCCTGGCAGCAAAAACTTTACCATTTCAAATCCCACCTGTGCATCCTTTTTTAATGCAGAGTTGGCATTTCCTCCCCATGGATCTAGTTGCACTTTACATTGGTTACCTAAACATAAATAAATATGAAAAGAGAAAAATCCAGGTTCAGGATCCAAACCAGTTTTAGCATATCAACCTAGATGCTGTAGTGCTACACAAACAGACTCTACCTCCCAATGACGTCACAATTGCTGTGTAACTTTGGTCCTGCCATGCAGTAAAGAAAATAAAAGAAAGGAGTTAAAGTCTTTCCACAAACTTGAAATCTTTGCCCTGGGTCCTTCTAGAGGCCAGTTTTATGTCTTCTGGTTGGATGGAGCATTGTTTAGTTAATCTTCCCTTTGGTAAGCACTCAGAAAGGAAATCAGAGTAAAGTATAGCAAGTGGGTCATTGCGCTGAAGAGGAAAGCAAAATGACAGATTGTTTATTTTTCCCAGCTATATATATTTGGTTATACTGTTTGAATATCAGCAAAAGTGTGTGTTTTATGGCATATGACTGCAGCAGAACATTGCATATGTGATGGAGGTATCTCAGATTTGTCACTGACATAACATCAAAAGTCATCAATGACCCACAAAATTAATATTAAAATTATACTCTGTGAGTTTAAAAAATGCAATTAAGACATAAAATATAGCTGATATTAAATTCTTTAAAAAATGTCAGGACATGAGATACATGTTACTTATTCACCTATATCTTTCTAATTACACAAACAAGAACCAAGGGATTTCCAAACATGTATTTTATCAAATAATAAAAGGTGTAAAGATGCTGAAACAAAATCTGAATGCACATTCATTGTTTGAACATGCATGGGAATAACTAGAAAGAAACAATAGATTTTTTCTGTCTGTGCTCTTTTTGTCAGATGGTGAAGGAGGAGAGGTTTCACCCCCGATGGGTGCCGGCGTAGACAGCAACAGCTGGCACTTTCGTTACGGCCCAGGTGGGCCCGGTGGACCCCCGCAGCACCTGAAGCCTGGCGAGGTTCCTCCTGAAGCTTTCATCATTCCTGGCTCACCCGCCATAATATCCATCAGACAGAACCAGGGAGGAGAGGACGACAAGAGCGATTTCATCACCTTTGGAAAGAAAGAGGAGGCCAAGAAAAAGAAGAAGAAGAAGAAGGAGAAGGAGAAGAAAGACAAAAAGGATAAGGGGAAGGATGATGGGGATGAGTAAAGCTGTAGAAAAAGAAAGCAAGTTGCAAAGGATAAAAGGGCGTTGCTAAAACAGAGGTACCAACCAAAGTTCACTGGGCAAAAAGAGAATCTTATTTACTACCTATCGTCATTGAAACATTGCAGAGTGTTTACTCTTGGTCCTGGCCTTACCAAGATTTATTTTACCTTCAGTTATCTACTGATGTAAATTATATATCTTGCCTTTATTCAACTAAAGATTAAACAGACAATAAAAGGATTGTTTTTTCTCTCCATGCCCCATGTGCCTATGCCCCCTTAGTCGAGTCGAGTCATGTCACAATTTTGCGAAACAAAGAACCACTCTTTGCCCCTGTCTTGATTTGTTTCTCCTTTAGCCCAATGGGTATGTTGGCACCTCTGTCTTACCCCCTCCCCAATGTGTAAAGCATCCTCCCAACAAGGAGACTAATGTTTTGAATAAAACAACAAAAAACTGTGCCAGCTTAAGGAAAAGAAGACACACGAAGAAGACTGACACAGTTGCATGCAGTCTGGAGCTGGACACACTACTTGTAAATAGCACAGACAAGAGTCACTGAAACTAAGGCTAATATAACACTGCTGCAGATTCACTGGTAATTACCAACAGTGTTATCGGAAATCTCAACGAAACCACATGTACACACACATCCACACGTTCAAACACCAACTTATTATCCATGACAAAATGGACTAGGAAAGCACTTGAGGCCTAAAAAGAGGAAGAGAGGAGAAAGGAGAGAGAATAAACTGACGTACAAGAAATGTGCTTAAAACTGGACGCCGCAAGCTTGTTGCCCTGCACTATCACCTCTTACGTGCAAATAAACGTCAGCTCTCTCAGGATGGAAGCAGAATTGATTGCAATCACTTTATATTTGCTCACTGCATTGAAACAACAACAAGCTTCATCTCTTGCCAGAACCCCAGCTGAGGATTATGGAGATCACTGGGGAAAAGAAGGAGGAACAAAGGAAGATGCTTCATGTTTTCCTGAGCATCAAAGAGGGTAGAGTCCAGCTGAGCTGGCTGGAGCCTTGGAAGTCTTTTAGTGGACTCTAAAGAAACATCACTTTTTCTTCTCTTCCTGGTGCAGGAAAAGCCTGATGCTTTCTACTCTGAATGTTTGGTAGCAACCAATCCTCACCTAATACCTTGAGTTTACAAACAATCACCTGCTTGTACTTGCTCCCAGCTGCCACAAACCAAATTTTACCCCAGCTACTGTTTTTCCCCTAGTTACTCGTCCTGCATTGACTGACTCTCATAGAATATTTTTGATTTATTATTGTTGTTTATTCTTTGTTTGAGATTAATTTTTACACTGTCAGTTATTGTCTTCATCCCAGTTTCATGCCTTACCTGCCCACTATGAATTTACCCTCAGACATTGACCCAAACCCCTGCTCTGACCCCCTTCTCAGGATCACTTCTGGGAACGGCCTGCTTTGAACATTGTGGTGTGCTGAGAACAGCATGGAGTAATGTAGACAGGGGCCTGGGGAGAACCAGTCAGGGGTCTGGGCCCTGAATCTTTTTCAGATGTTACTGAAGTGCAAAACGGTTCAGTGCTTTTAACTTGTGAATACTACAGTATGTGGTTAATTTCCTGTTTGTAGACACTGCTGAGAGGGAAGCAGGTGGGAGGAGACTGTGAAGAGATGGGATAAAGCGAGGATTGGTGCACCATCGGCAGAACCTTCTTCTTCATGTATATTAGAAGAAAGGTTAACAAATTTGATTGTTTAGTAACACAGAGTCTCATTTTCGCATCTATGTATGCTGTAAAGGTAGCGTAGACCTTCTGTAGATTGTCTCAAAAGTACTGATGGGGGGGTCTAGATTTCACACCCCAAAGCTTTATCCTATAAACTCTATCACAGGCTGTTCTGAAAAGGGACACATTCACAGCTCAACACCTGCTTCCGTTGGTTTCCCTCCTTTTGCCTGTAACTTAATGCCATGTCCAAAAAGTTTGTTATTTTTCTTTTTTGGCTCAGTATGATGTCACTTCATTAGGTGGCTGCTGCATGTACTGCTCTAAGGAAACACATACTATATAGAGAAATATATATATATAAATATAGCTCGATAGATTACTATGATTTAATTATTTTCTAATATCATTTTTCTTCATTTTTCACACAGGAACTATTTGTGTGTAAAGCTGTTTCTGCCAAACATCTATGTAAAACAATCTTCACGCTCCACAGATGTTTATTGGCATCCACTAACCTTCTCTAGGTATTTGTAAATGATACAGTGTGATACCTTTCAATGCAAGTTTTTTTTCTCTCTCTCTCTTTTACCAACAGGGGTTCTGCATTTAAGAACAAGCAAAGCAAGAAAAAAAATCACTCTGTGTCTGGCTTTGACATGATGATCTAACACTGTATTATTGTATCTGAAATATGTATGTTCTTATGAAGAGCTATCACTTCCCTTTCACTCTCATGAAAAGAAAAAAAAAGAAAAGAAAAAAAGTGTGTTAAAAGAAAAATAGCAAAAAAAAATATATGTTAGTGTATGCTTATGTTTGGTGAGCATTCATGCTGTCAATCTTTCCCAATGTATGGTGGTGAACTATGGTGGCGATGTGCTGTCCAAATTGGATCAGCAGAGATTTGTTGTGAAACCTTTTCTTGTACACCCTTTCATCAACTGTAACAGTGATGTAGTGAATTTCATTTATTTCATTTACTTTTTTAATTTTTTTGTTTTACCTAAATTGATACAGTGGTAATGTGTTTGGTTTAAAAATCACCAATAAAACTTCTTTTGTAAAAGAAATGTTGAATTTATTGTTTGGGAATTAATACTTCATCCTTAGCAGTCAGAAAGGATCACACGGACAGAGACTGATTACCTCCCCCCCAAGTTTGTAGGGAAAAAAACAATCATTTAGATGCATGACAGTCAGCATGAGACAAACCTTTCTAGGCAGTAGATTCAATTTGTTACCTTGTCTTGCAAATTTTCACTTTCCCAAAATGTTATTCATTTTTAAATCCCACATTGATGTGTGGAATGAAAACATATTGCCACTTTATTTGGACTGAAATACTGAGAAAATGCCACTGTTACTTTAAAAACATATTCAGAGAAAATGTATTGTCTACATAATTCAAAGGTGGCTGACTGAGATAGGATGGGTTCAAGATTTCTACAATCTATAAATCTACAATTTGTTAAGCTCCTACAGGAAGCAAGGAAAACTGTTTCCGTGGTTACAGCTATATAGGGAATTATTTCTATAGCAACAACCTGATATATGTACCCGACATGGGCATGTTGACAGCAAGGTGCTCCTTATGGGCTCAAGGGTGTGTCCTCGTCAGACGACTCAGAAAAAAACTCTGCAGGTTAGTCTGGGTGGTGAATCCATGATGAAACACCACAAACACTTAACAGATATAACAAAGCAAAAAGATGGAGTCTTGTAGAGAATCTCTTAAACAAAAGCACTTTACACCCACATTTCCAAAGTGCCTTCGGCTACCCATTCTCTAGAGAATTCATGAAATGTGCGCTGGTATTTTCAGAGTGTGTTTGAGACATACAAACACATCTTAAAGGTGCAGCCTCCAGTTTTTATCTGCAAGACTAAGCATCCGTAATTTATGAACATGATACATGAAAGAAAGAGCACAGCATTCAAAATCTGTTATCCAATTTAGACATTGCCCAATCAAAAGACACGTTTCTATACAGCATAATCACATGCAATAGCATGCTTTCACTTCACACATGAACACAGGAATCAATATATTTTGTTTTAAGGCTTAAGTGGTTGCCAGCTGCAGTGACTCAGCAAAATCATTAACCTGCAAGACAGAAAGTTCTTTAAAAGGAGATGGTAAGATATAGATCAACGCTATTATTAAATTATTATTCTAACAGTGAGCTGCTTATAATATCACATACTCAGAAAATGTGTTTGCTTAATTAATAAACACCAAATTAATTATTTTCTTTGTGTGAACTAAAATGTATTTTAAACCGACAGAGGCTGATACCTGAAGCCTGCTGCACATGAGAGCAAACTGCTGAACAACCTCGAATGACTTTTAGCTCAGCAGATACCTCGCTGTGTGCCCCTGATTTTCACTGAGTTTTCTGCCTTACAAGATGCTGAGGTGAAAATCTAACCGGTTTGAAATTTTTCGCCTTAAGCGATTACTCAGCGTGTGCGCACTATGTGAGCTGCAGGCTGACTCATTCAATCAATAAGATTTTATTTATAAAGCGCTTTTCAAGCAAACGTGCGACTCAAAGTGCTTTACAAAATTAAAATGACCCCAAATTCCCTTAATTGTTTAAAAGCAATAACAGTCACACACACACACACACACACACACACACTAGTGGCCAATCAAATTGCGTTATTCACTCACATGATTCCAAGAATGACAGCCTTCTTCTCCTTCTCCTTCTTCTTATTCTCCTTCTTCTTCTTCTTCTTCTTCTTCTCCTTCTTCTTCTTCTTCTCCTTCTTCTTCTCCTTCTTCTCCTTCTCCTTCTTCTCCTTCTTCTTCTTCTCCTTCTCCTTCTTCTCCTTCTTCTTCTTCTCCTTCTTCTTCTTCTTCTTCTTCTTCGAGTTAGGCAAGCTGGACACCTAAAAGGCGTATTGCTGCCACAACAACCACCCCCACCAGTGAGCCAGCACGACCCAACACAACAAGCACACAAACCGAGCGGGTCCTCCAAATCAACAACAAAGTAGCTAATAAGACGGCAGTCCATGATTACAAAAAACAAAAACAAAAAAATTAAACTAACACCCCCCACCCACCCCCACCCCCCAAAAAAATAAACAGAAGAAAAGAAAATGTACCATGGTTCACCAATGATTGCAACTACATGCATTAAAGGTGATAATAGCAACTCAGACAATTTCAGTAAACACTGACAGATTTGCATATATAAAACAACAATTGGAAAATAACACTAAAACAGTCATCTTCATAAAATAGAGTTTTTCATGGGTACCATGAAAGGCGTTCGTTGACTGTGATGAGTTCTGAAGGGACAACGTAAAACAAAATGACACATGCTGTTTTAAATTACATCTTGCAAATGAAATGTAAGTGAGTTCAAATAAATTATGTTTGTATAGTCAAAAATAGGAAGCAGAAGCAGAGTCACAATATGCTTCCGTTATTCAAAGTAAAAACAATAAATTGTGTTCGTAAGCAACTACAGATCTTATGAGAAACTGCCTGGATATGATTTTTGAAGAATAAGTCTGGTTCTATCTGTTACAACCCCCATGCCATGCAGCTGGTGGTCCAGTGTTTTATGTAGCCTTTTCTTTTGATTTCTTATTCCTGTCTTCCTCCTGCTGCTGTTTACATCAGAGTTGCACTGGGCACCACAATGAGATCCACATACTTGGAAACAAGATGGCAGCCTCCACAGTGCATACCGTTACCATGGGAGCAACAATGAGATCCGGCATTAGCCCCTTCACCAAAGATCCCTC